GATGACTTTTTATAAGTCAAAGGAGAGGGAGATTGTCCTAGGATTATAAACCTCCCCCCCCCCCCTCTCACCCCACCCCACAATCACTTTTTTGTGACACAGAATGTGTGTGAAAAAGAAAAAGTTTTTTTCTAATATAATGTACATATTTAATGTCATAATAATTGACAATTTAAATTATTAAAAAAATATTTTTAAAAATTATTTAAAATTTAATATTTCACATAAAGTTGAAATGGATGGAATAGTTTTATGGTTGTGCCGTTGATTCTACTTTAGTTGACATTATTTTCTTATTCGTTAAGCAAAAAAAAAAAGAGGACGCATTCTTACATTTTATTTATGAAATTTTTTACTGCCACAAAAATGTTACTTTAACATATCTAAAAATAGTATCAACATGTATGTTTATAGCTAGGTAATATATTTCAATTTACGGGTAATTCAGATTTTTCAAGGAAGATTAAATTTTAACGTGTCATTTGTTGTAAAATTCAAGAACCTTCTATTCAGGAACTCTCTCTCGTCATTTTGATTTTTCACTTTTGACTTTTCATTTTTATAATTGATCTCTTCTTCTCAATCAAAAAATGTCAACTCACCCCTTTGTTTTATGAAAGAGATTTTTATAGCTATTCTGATTTTTTAAAAAGAAACAGTGTATTAGATGAGTGAGTTTACTCCAATTATCATAGCTGGTATTCTAATTAAAAATACAAGTATGAGTTATCATTGTGATCAAAATGCTATTGATTCTATTCTTATTTCGTCTACTAGTTGAGCCATTTGTATTTTTGTGGTGAATTAGTTTTGTTTAATTTATTTTTTGTCTTTCTAAAAGATTAAGTAGGTTAAACACAAGTTGACCAAATAGAGAAAATAAAGATAAGAACACAATTAAAGTTGTATCATCAAATAAATTATTGTGTTCTTTAAAAATTTTGATAGGTATACTTGTAATTATGAAAACTCTTTTCGCATTGCACTTGTTGATTTTACTAAAAGTTGGTCCATTGATATTTGCCAACCATTTACATGACTATATACACGCAAAGTTGTATACTTTTTGGTGCAGATTGGTAAAAGCTAAATGATTCAGAAACGTATGGATGGAAAAAATGTTTTCTATGGCAATTTTGTTTGGAATATAGTTTATTTCATTTAAGGAGTGTAGCGGTTTACGGAGATTTTTTTTTAATTGGATTTCTACTCAATGTTGCTCTAGGAAATTTACATATCTAGCTTGATTAGTCTGATTGCAACATCAATTAGGACCAGTAAATTTGTAATTTCATTTTTGTCTATTCAAGATTAATAACAAGTTCATAATATTTTCTTGCGTGCATCTTCGTAATTCGATCTAAACATGTAAAAAGTACTCAAAATCACAATAAACACCTAATATTTAAAACAAGTTTTAATTTTTTTTCTTATTATAAAATTTTATATCAAGTCAAATTTATTAGATTAAATCTATGATTTATTTGTTTTTCTAGATCGTGTCAGAAGGTTATTTTGTTCAAACACAAATTATGCTATAATTATTTAGTCTTGTATTTCTCATTACTAACTCTTTGGTTTGGCACTGCATAATTTATTTTTTTAATATTTTTTTTTAAAAAATGATTTATTTGTAAAATTATTCCTCACTTTAGTATAAAAAGGAATTGAGAAACCTTGTGGATATTTTTTGATATTTTCATTATTTTATTTTATTATTTCATCCTCTATCATGATCTAACTTATTCTAAGATTAGCATCCAAACAAGGAGTTATTAGTTTACTCATATTACTAAAAACACAGAGTATAGAACTTTTGGGTAATAAGTGAAATTTCTTGACTATCCTTGAATTCTCTTTTGTAGAATCATTAAGTGTGATGATTTTATTCTTCATGATCAAAAGCCTTACTGAATTTTCTACCTAGACTAGATTCTTTGTGTGTTAGTCATTAAAAGTGGTTACTACATTAATGAGCTACCTTATTTTATTGACGCTCTTTGACTTATTCAAAATTTTAATAACAGTACGTAATTCACAAGTTTTGAGAAGTCATTTTCGCCATCTTGAAATTAAATGGAACGAGTCTTTGGACATTTCAGTTTCATATATATTGCTACTGTGAAGTAGTGATATCGAACGTATCAAAATTTCTAATTGACTAAAATTCAACTTAATTTTCTTTGAGCCAGCAAATTGACAAAATTGTGAATTGAATGAATGAGAAAAGATGAAAAGTTGTTATTATAGCTTACAGTGCTAATATGTACTTATACAATTTCATTGTAACTAACTAACAGAAAATGTAACTAATAACTAATGAACTAATAGGATATTGACAGCTGGATAACAATAATAACTAACTACTAATTAACTCTTAGCAACACTCTTTTCATACTCTTCAATACCCCCCTTCAAGCTAGGAGATATGAAGATGTTCTTCATGCCTAGCTTGGATACAAGATATTCATGTTGCAAACGACCAAGACCTTCAGTTAACACATCAGCAAGTTGCTCCGTAGTGGCCAAATGCTGAATGAAGACAATACCTCTTTGAATCTTCTCCCTAACAAAATGACAATCAATGTCAATGTGTTTGGTCCTTTCATAGAAGATAGGATTGGATGCAATCTTAATGGCGGCAGTGCTATCACTATGTATAACAACAGGCAAGCTAAGAGGCATATCTAATTCACGAAAATACCAATTATCTATGTAACTTCAGCAATAGTGAAGACCATGCTTCTATATTCTGCTTCTGCAGAACTCCTGGAGACAGTGGATTGCTTTTTTGACTTCAAAGAAAGTAAAGAGTCCTCAAATTTTACCATATACCCGGTAATGGACTTCCTAGTATCAAGACATGATCCCCAATCAGCATCACAATATGCTTGCAAGGAATCAGAAGATTGTGCAACCAAAAATATGCCTGAGCCTGGATTCTGTTTGTTGTATCTTACAACTCTAACAACAACATCCATATGAGACCTCTTTGGTGCATTCATAAACTGACTTAAGCTTTGAACAACATAAGACAAAATTTAAGTAAATCAACCTACCAATAAGTCTTTGATATGCACCAATATCTGATAGCAGTGAATCAGATGAAGAACCTGTATGTTTATCAAAAACTATAGTAGTTATTTTGATATTCATTTCAACAGGTGTGGCAATAAGTTTAGACCCACCTAAACCCAAATCAGAAATTATCCCCAATGCATACTTCCTCTGGTGCATAAAAATCCCTTTAGTGTTTCTAACAAATTCTATCCCTAGAAAATATCTCAAAGTTCCAAGGTCTTTTATTTTGAAGTTGTCCTTCAGAACTTTTTTAGTTTCATTAATCAACTTCAAGCTACTACCAGTTACCAACAAATGATCAACATAAATCAAGACAATCACAATGCCTTCATCTGACCTTTTAATCAACAAAAAATAATCCATATGACTTTGTTGAAAACCAGCAGCTAATAGAGCCTGAGTTAATTTCACATTCCATTGTCTCGAAGCTTGCTTAAGTCCATATAATGACTTAAGTAACTTGCATACAGGTTGAACCCCATCATATCTATGAGTGTAACCTGTAGGCAATTGCATATACACTTCCTCCACTAAATCACCTTGCAAAAAGGCATTATAGACATCCATTTGCTGAACATCCCACCCCTTAGTAGCAGCAAGAGTCAGCACTGTCCTTACAGTGACCATTTTAACAACTGGAGAAAAGGTCTCCTGATAATCTAATCCTTCCTGCTGACTATAACCTTTGGCCACTAATCTAGCTTTGAATCTTTCAACTTCACCAGTTGCTTTGTACTTGATTTTATATACCCACTTGCAACATATAGCCTTCTTACCAATAAGCAGAGGTATTATCTCCCAAGTCTTATAATCTTCCAAAGCTTGTATTTCCTCCTTCATAGCTGCCACCTATCTCTTGTCCTTGACAGCTTGATGATAAAAATAAGGCTCAATGTTAACTGAAAGATTAGCAATGCAACATTGATATGAAGGAGACAAGCAACTGTAATCAATACTATCTCTAAGAGAGTACAGACAATGAGACTTAGATCCAGACTTAGTTGAGGTCACAAAATCCTTTTGCGAAAATGGAGGTCTGGAAGTTCTAGTGGACTGTCTTTTTTCTATAGTGGAACTTATAGTTGGTTCCTGAACAACTGAAAATGGATTCATATTTGGCTCATCAGAAGTATGATCAATAGAGTATCTAGTGGTACTATCAGTATGATCATGCATGCAAACATGATCATCATCTTGGATATTCAAAACTGGAACTGAAACTTGAATTGTATCATCAAATACAATTGTCTGCATATTTGCATTAGAATGAATCTGAAAAGGAAATATGGATTCTGTAAATACAACATCCCTGCTGATAAAAAAAACTTTACTTTCAAGATCATAAAGTTTGTATCCCTTTTGTGTGGTGCCATAACCCATAAAAACTGATCTAATAGCTCTCGGTCCAAACTTGTCTGTCCTCAACAGTTTGGTAGCATGACATAAACAACCTATTATTCTCATGTAAGACAGGTCTGGTGATTTGTTGAACATCATCTCAAAAGGTGACTAATTATTCAACACATTAGATGGAATTCTATTAATAATATGAACTGCAGCTAAAACACACTCCCCCCAAAACTTGATTGGAATGTGACCTTGAAATCTGATAGCTCTAACTGTCTCCATGATGTGTCTATGCTTTCTTTCCACTACACCATTTTTTTGAGGTGTATGTGGACAAGAACTCTGATGAATGATACCTTTAAAATGAAACAACTCACTCACTTGAGCATTGAAGAACTCTCCCCCATTATCTGATCGAAATGTTTTAACCTGGACACTGTACTGGGTTTGAACCATGGCATGAAATTGCTTCAATATAGTAGAAACATCAGATTTAAGATGCATGAGATATATCCAAGTCCATCTAGAATAGTCATCAACCAATGTAAGAAAAAACTTTATCTTATTGTGAGTTGCAACTTTGTAGGGTCCTCATACATCCATATGAACTAAATCAAAACATTTTGAACTCCTAGTGTTACTAATGGAGAATGGTAATCGAACTTGTCTAGCCAATGGACAAATATTACAACATTGTAACTGAAACTTCCTTTTATTAGCAAACATATATATCTTTCTAATAACATTCATAGGGATGTGACCTAATCTTTTATGCCAAACTTCACCCTCATCAGAATCTTGGATAGCTGTAGTATCAATAATTTTATGATGTTGTTCAGTGTTTATCAGTTGAGGAGACTTCAAAATGTATAAACCACCATCATCTTTACCAATCTCCTTCACTCTCCCAGTGAGAAGATCCTGGAGAAGGAAGAAATCAGGATAAAATATAGCACAACAATTCAATTGTCTAGTTAGTTTAACCACTGAAAGAAGATTGAAGTTAAAATCTGGCACACATAAAACATTTTAACTATATCGACTCCTTGTAGTTTAGAACAACCTGAATGTGTGAATCGAGATGAATCACTATTTGGAAGTTTAACATGTCCTGAACTCATCACTGTTGATTCATGAGTCAATACATTCTTAGTTCCCACCATATGATCAGTTGCTCCACTATCAACAATCCAATCAAAACTAGAGGAATTGAACTTAGAGTTTACTGCAAAGTTACCTGCTGCATTGGCATTAATGTTTGTAGACATTGCATTTCCTTCATGAATCAATGGTTTGTTCAACATCTGAAGAACTTGCTTATACTGATCAGGTGTAAACTGTGGCACTGAACCAGCTCCAAAACCTGAACCATATTGTTGTTGTGATTGTTGTGTTAAAGGAACAAAACAACTGTTATCATTTGAATTCCCTAGAAATCCACAATCTATTGCCACATTGTTAGCTAATCTTTTCCCTTTGTAATTGATAGGATAACCTATTAATTGGAAACAAACGTCCTTCAAATGCCCATGCTTATGACAATGAGTAAAATATTTCAGCTTGTTGCACTCAGCTCTACTGTGACCCTTCATTTCACAATGATCACAATATAAATATCCACTCCTTTGTGGTTTATGAGGTTTCACATTTCCTTGACTTCGATAACCTTGACTCTCATTACTTCCAAAACTATTACTTCCAGAACCATTGCCTCCAGATCTACCGGAAAATAATGCAGTAGAATCTAATTGTCCACCTAAAGTGTAGTGATCTCCACATAACTCCCTTTGGCTTTCATCTTGAATTATCATAGCATAACAATGATTAACAGTAGGTGGAACACTCATCATAAGAATCTGACTCCTAGCATGACTATTATTGTCATTCAAACCCATTAAAAATTGCAAAAGCTTTTGTCTAAGCATGCCATCAATATACTCTTTAGATCTATCACAATTACAAAAAGGAGGTGGAACAATTAAGTCAAATTCATCACATAGATCCTTTAACTTTGAGCAATAAACTGATACAAGGGAAGTACCTTGAGTATGTGTGACAATTGATTTGTCCAGATGAAAAATTCTGGACATATTCACCTTATCAAAACGTTCCTTCAAATCACTCCAAACTAGATAAATACGATTCCACTCACCAAATCCTTGCTCACATTACTCATCAGCCATGAAAGCACCATAGCATTACATCGATCCCACTATTTCTTGTCATAATCAACTATATAATTTTCACGTTTGATGCTTCCATCAACAAATCCCAATTTATTCTTAGTCAACAGAGTTAATTTCATTGCTTTGCTCCATAAAGTGTAATTCTCCATACCTGTGAGTTGAATTCTAACTTGAACAGCTCCTGGTACATCAGAAGATGACAAGAACAGAGGATGAATATGGTCAATTTTGTTCGCCATTGATGCCTCTTCAGATCTGCAAATTCAGCTATCAATCGAAGCTAAAGAATCGCCAGGAATAGCATTCCATGCTCTGATACCATGACAAAATTGTTGATTGAATGAATGAGAAAAGATGAAAAGTTGTTATTATAGCTTATAGTGCTAATATGTACTTATACAATTTCATTGTAACTAACTAACAGAAAATGTAACTAATAACTAATGAACAAATAGGATATTGACAGCTGGATAACAATAATAACTAACTACTAATTAACTCGTAGCAACACTCTTATCATACTCTTCAATACAAATTTCATATTTATCAACAGCTAAAAATATAAAAAAATAAAATTAAAAGTAAATGTAGAATATATTGTATTATCTTTTGGTCCCATCAAGAGAGTCGAGCGTGGATTGTATTATGGTTGGACTTTTGTCAAATTAATGAAATTTAATTTATTTTTTAATCGTCCACTATATACTCGATAATGAATTCGTCTTACATTTTATTAAAAAAATTATTTACAATCAGTCAAGAATGAATAAAAAGAGATTGTCGAAGAAAAATAAAATAAAAAAATAAAATAATAATAATAATAATGATAATAATAATAATAATGATAATAATGATAATAA